CTCTTCAACAGGGATGTACACGATCGTCTTCGGTCTCTGCATGAACGTCCTTCTCAGACGGCGATCTGGACTTGGGCTATATCTCGCATGCACCATATCCTCGTTCATTTGCGGGACTCTCTTCGTTGCGTTTGCAGCATTTGGTCTGACACGACAGGCTATCATCCACTTTCGCCCCTTGAGAACGGGGGACTTTGAGACGGCTGTGAGGTACTTGACTCACGATCATGTAGCAGATGTTTGGACGTATGTGTTACTGGTTTCATCGTTCTACATCCTTGTTTTCACAAAAGTTCACTGGCAACTAGATCCATGACCAACTTCACCGCCTCAGCGATGAAGTGAGTAAACCTACCTTGGCACCTCGGGTCAACCAGCTGTTACTCACAGAATCCTTCGAAAGTGCTCTGGCTGACATCATGCTCGTGAGTTCGGCATCTCTGTAATGTATCACCGGTTCTGATCACCTTTCTCTCCATAGATCCACCGGTGCTACATCATTTGGGGCTCTAACCGGATCCTACTATACGCTCTCAGTGTTGTGGGAATCATACTCAATGGTAGGTGTCTCCCGACTGGCTTGCACCTTGAAGCTGAAAAGCGATTTGTTGAAACTAGCGATTTCCTTTACAACTGCGACTATGGTTTCCGTTGCGGAGAGCGATTTACCCCAATTGCGATATGTCAATTCTATCGCTGGTAATATCGACCACGGAAATATGCTAGCAATCCTAGTGTTCAATCTATTATTGTCACTGTTGACAGGTGGGTCGTAACGATACCGTTCCTAATGAATACGCTAACGGATTCTATCACTTCCTTAGCTGGAAGAATTTGGTGGATCACTCGAGAAGCCCGGCGTCAGGCGGAGATGCCAGTCCAGGCAAAGTACAAAGCTATAGTTGCTGCCATGTAAGTCTCAGCCACTGCTTGGTTCCTGGCCAATTATCTGCACCACCATGCAGACACAAGCTCATTAGAACCACGTAGTCTCGAGTCAGGGTTGCTATACCCGATCGCCCTCCTAGCCTCAGAGTTGGTATCCCTCATGCTGGACCCGGAAACTCGCGGAAAAGTCCCAGTTAGTCTCGAGCCCATCTCAAACTTAATGGCGGTACGTACCTCAAATGCTCTTGCTTTATCTTGAAAATTTCGTTACCTCTGTGACCTTCCAGGGCCTAGCACCAACGTTGATTATCGTTCGAGTTGCCTACGGAAAATCTGTTGACAGCGTGCAACAGGTGATTACGCGGACGATCCACTTTGCCGAGCAAGAATCTCAGGGAACACGCCCGGGCAGAAGCCTGAGTGCGCTACGTGCCACTGTGGACATCCGCTCTCATCACCGGACTGAGGATCTGGAGGCCCATAAGGAGACAGTAAATTTGCAGGAGAAGATAGACGAGACTCGGATGGTTCGATTGGAGGAAGCATGATACTGCGTGGCCATATTTATTCATTCTTCTTTTGATCGTTTTGGTTTTACACCGTTCGTTCTGCCTGAGGCTATTTCATTCTTTCCACAACATCTGTCTCTTTCGCACTAATTGATCGAGGTTTATAGTACGTCTACCTAATTCATTGCCCTCTCTTACCCATTGCTCTGCCATTCCCGCCGTCTGGTACACAAATTCAATCTCGAACTCAAACGTCTGCAGCCCCAATGGCAACCTACTTGGGGCTGAAGCGCCGAGGGACATGAATCCTCCATAAGATGGCTCGCGAAGATAGCTAGTCTTCGACCCCAAGTCCGATTTCGAGTACTAGTAAATTTTGTTGATCTATCTATTTCTCATCGTGAAGCTCTCACTCCTTATTCAATCGCTCGTCACTCTTCGCTCTGTCTCGAACGCACAGATCACTCCTACATACGGCTTCTGTCAATTGGCAAATCTTGTAAACTCCATTTATACAGGCTTTGTCGTTCCGTTGATCCTCACAGCAGTCGTGTTGTCCCGGGAAACTGGGCAGGCGACCGTGATTGTGCTCGAATTTCGGTAGTCAGGGTCAATGAGGACCTTGGTCGACTCGCTAGACATGTACGAATGCACAACTCCGGCAGAGTCAGACACAGTCAGTCCCAAAACCAATCAAGTTTAAAGTGTCCATGGGATGTCACAGAAGTGATAGGAGTGAAATATTAGTACAGGTACACGGAAGGAAATAATAAAGATACCCATGGTGCACTCTGGCTTCGTGATACCTGTTCACCCTGCGGAGACCCTCCGCTCCCGTTCAACTTCTCATCTATGTCGACTCGCTCACACGATGGGAGCGGGGGTCGACATTCTCACGGAACCCGCTTTGTGCCAAATGTGGTTCCCTGGTGTTTTGTCTCCAGATCCGCGGTGTGAACAGACATCATCTGCCAGATGCTGTCCACTGTTTATTCCTAGGTGATGCGCGCTGTTATAATGATGATGCGAGCTCTGAAAAATCCAAGTGATGAGAAACTTCGGCTTTGAGCCAAATAACCGACTGGCCACCATCAGAGTCGATACTGCAGCAAATTCAACTGGAATGGTGCCATGAAGATCTGGATCCATGGTTAAATGCACAATCGATGCTACCGTGATGCATGTTGGTTGGATATAACGCCCCCCGACTCGAGTCTACTGGTGAACGTTAAACAATGACCTTCGGTATGGGTGGCGTGAGAACCGAGCTGCAACGAGAGCTTGATACTTCGCATGCACAGGCAATCCCATATGTTTTCGTGCTCCGCTATATTCTTGCGCCTAGTGAACAGTCGTGGTGGTCGGGATGTTTGGTCCTTGATGCTCGATACGATTATCAAATTCATCAGTGAAAATTGACATCAAGCCATTGAAAGCCGCGATAACTATCGAGTTTCCCGATTCGATGCGTTTGGATCTACTATAATTAGGTCGCACAGACCTTCTCATGGTTGAAACAGAGACCGTGATCGTTTTTACAAGGCTCACACCTGATTCAAGCGTTGAGAAGCAGTCGGAAATCTGATCAGCGGTAGGTCTGAGTGTAATCAGTCACAGAGGGACCGTGAAGCACACAGGCTACGAGGTCAAAGATGTTTACTAAAGCTTGGTCAGGACCCCAGACGATGTCGCATCGGTGAGCCTACTGGAAGTCGAGAATGCCCAACGACAGGTGAACCTCGAGCTGTTCTTGGGGGGCCCAGTCAACTAGAATAGGGTCAAGTCCTTCTATTCAGCCACATCAAAAACCAGCTTCCTTCGAGTAAATTGCGCACTGTACAAGCCTGTACAAGTCATCACTTTCGTATGATCATGCATGAGCTCGCCGCCGCATACTATAGTTGGCCTAAGTATGAGTTATTCCATATTTCGGGTGAGCCTTTGAGGTTCAGTAGTACGCTGATGTGAAGATTAGTTGCTATACCATATAACTGAATTGCGGGATCAACTCCGCTTGTCTAGATTCAAAGACAATGGTGGTGGTACACGGAGATGGCGTGACATAATGTGACAACACGAAAGGTCACAAACTCAACATCCGTCACGATGTGACATCTCCCTTCTAATTCCAAACCATCACCATTCGTATTGATTTTCCTCTCTATGATCGCTCTCTCGTCTTTTTATTTGAAGGTTACGAGGGCACGGAATACCTCGGAATGCCCAGCTCCAACTCAATCTCACCTCTTGTTTGGTCCCGCTGAATTGGAGGTTTCGCAAATCCTCTTCACATCCTAGAGGACGGTGTACTGGTCAATTTTCGTCGCCTCAGTAATCGAAAGAAGACTGGGGGGGCGCTGAACCTAAGAATTTTTAACAATCTGGTACGTAGCCTAGCACGGTAATATCTTGTGATGAAGCTGATGCTACTTACGGCTTCCAATACAGAGCTCGCACGTTCAAGACGACCATCTCGACACCAAATCCGAGAATGACCACACCTCTGTGTACCCTCAATGAAAATGCAGGCGGGCCAATTTTAGCACGCCATCAATGCAACCTGGGATGTCGAGTAGAGAAGCTCGTGTATGCTCTCTGGGGAGACGAGAATAAGGCCAATCGTACGCCGTTTGCAGATTTCATGATGATGGGGTCCCTCTGACGGCCTTTTACACAGGCTGATACGGGAATTTGCCTCTTGAAAACCTGAGGTCTTATTACCGTGGTCCGCGACCCTCTTGGCGGAAGAGTCGCTCTTTGGCTATTACCATCTCGGAGATTTCGCCTTGAGAACGTCGGGTGTGCTCCGTTTCTTTCTCCATCACCAACAAGCTTCGCTGCTTGGCTATGGCCTGCCGTCCACGAGACGGGTGATGATGGCAGGTTAGAAAGTAGAAGGTTGAAGATGGCGACGCAACAGAGGGAAGCTGCGAAGGATGGTTCCTCCGAGTTGCTGTCATCAGGTCTTTTCGAGGTACGTCTCTTCCGGTGTTTTTTTTTTTGAACGTCCCTCATGGGTACACGCCACGTACAGGTCCAGCCGAGAACGTGTAAACGACCACTAGTGAAGACATGAAGCCCCCTTCCCCTCCCCCTCCCATTTTCCAATCGTTCTCCGACACTCTTGTCATTGACGGCCGTGCGAGAAATTTTCGTTACGCCTGGCGTAACCCTAACCCTATCTATCTTCACCTCCCCGTTCGCACCGCGCAAGGCAACGGTTCAAAGCGTTTGCCACAGGCGCCATTCTACCTACCTTCCGGCACCAGTTGTGCGTCAAAGCAATTGTGCCACTGGTTCGAGCTTCCGTGGGGTCCTTGTGATAGTCTCTTGCATTCTACCTATGCGTACACGCCCAGAAATAATGCCCATAATCTAGTTTTAATGGAGATACTGTGACAGCTCATTTATTTCTGGGCGTGTATTTCGTTTAGACTATATGGGGTCCACGAGCAGGTAGGTGTTATGATCATTGTTGAACGTCGTGCGAGTAAATATCTTCATTCTTGGGCTCTTCGGCTTCAGGACGTTCGTTCGTCTGTAGAAGATTTTCTTTGTTGTTTTTCCGCCCTCATGGTGTCACTAATCTCCTAGTTGAGAACCGGCCTGATGGTCTAGTAGTATGATTCCTTGTTAGGGAAGCTGTTAGCTGCGTCTTATCGAGGAGGTCCCGGGTTCAATTCCCGGTCAGGCCCATGCGAAAAGCGTTCACATATTTTGGCCCACCTATAATGTCTGCTGTAGCTGGCCTTGTCCTTGTACATATTTTGTTCGTCGAAGTTAGACTTGTGAAGCTGCCTTCACGGAAGGAAAAACAACCGTATATAGCTCTTGTCCGACCGCTCTGCATCGAAGTATTCATTTCATTTCAAGGTGGTGACTTCCCTCTGACCCCAATGCATACCGAGTGGCGCTCATGTCTATGGCTTTGACTCTGGTATTACCTACCGCTCTTCATTCTCTCTTTGCTTCCAGATCCTACTCAGCAATTTTTTACAACAATAGATATACATACATACATACACGTAACGTGCTGAGTATATCATACCGATGGACACGCCGAGTTTGGGCGCGATCTGACTGTTATTACCTGACTACATAGAAACATTTGGCGTTGAACTCACGCGTACGCTTTGACGGAGTGTGCGCTCGTTTCACGAACCGCATCATTGGATCGAATCATTTCGTAGCTTCCTTGCACCACCAATTCCCACTGAGAGTAACGCCAATCATCTGGGCGGCGGGCCTAAACCATCCGTCTAGGAACATCACCCATCTTCTCCTCACCTCCGTCGGTCGGCTCCGTATTGTCGTCCTGGGAGCGAGGGACAATATTTATAGTCGTATGCCCCGCTCCTCGATCAGCAAAGTGGATCGACATGACCTGATCAACGTTATCCACCGACTTTCCATATGCGACACGTACGATAATCAGTGTCGGTGCCAGGCCCTAGAAGGCTCTCGATCAGATGGGAGAGACGGGGGGGCTGTTTCACACTTACTGCCATCAAATGTCCAATTACCGAAGGATCGAAGGGGACTAAACCTTGGAATTCGGGATCCACAGTTAGGGACACAATTCCTGCTGCTACCAAGGTTGCTGGGTAGAGGAGTCCTGATTCCAAACTGTCGAAACGGTCGGAGAAATACGCAAATATGCAACGTGAGTAAGACCCGGGCCAGGAGAAGGAAAGAGACGTACATGATAGCAACAATTTCTTTGTATCTTCCTCGCACTGATCTTCCCAATTGCCGACGAGCTTGGTGGCTTACCCACCAAATTCTCCCCGCTAATGTCACTGATTAGCATTTTTACAAAGGTATGACCGCGAGCTGGCATCAACTCACCCGTCAAAAGAGATAATAGCAAATTGAACACTGCAACCGCTATCCAAGACGCCTCATACACACGAGAATCGGCGTTCAGAAACGCGTCGCTGACGTCGAACGGAATAGCAAACTCAATAGTGATAAGGATGGATCCTACAAGTGCGAGGCCTGTGGTCAATAGTTCCGTCAGAGGTTGGGACGAACGTTCTACCATCACTATATGGGAATATACATACCGTTCACGAGGACAGACAATGAGCCAAGAATGTATAGTACGGCTTTGTTGAATCCCCAGAGGATCCAGCATCGGTGGATCTGAATGGTAAGTATCAGGATCACAGTGCTGCCTCGCTGGTGCGTAGTATGTCAAAACTAGTCAACTCACGATGGTGATATCAGCGATAATACTGTTTATTTTCGACAATTGCATTATGAAGATTGTGAGCAGAGTGTGGAGCAAGAGTTGAGAGTTAACGTACTTCATCAAATTGGACGCGAGGTTGGATATTCCTCTACAAATGCAGTTAGCATAGACATAGAACCCACTCGACCGGTGACTGGCACGAGAAGAATCACTCACGTGTAGAGGGTTTGCCCATCATCAACACGCAGATAATTCCAGAGTTCATCATATTCTCGTGTTCTCGATGCTGTAAACTCGATGATAGCTTGTCGGATGAAGTAATACGCCGTCGTCGCCGTATAGATATTGGCAAGAACGAAGAGGGAGATATTACAGATCAAGTAGAGATGAGAAGAGGAGCTATTGCGCCGGCAGAGAACATGGATCGAGAGTCCAAAGACTATGGTGTAGATACCTAGTAATATGTCCAGGTTGGATAGCAACTTTCAAAGAAAATGAATTGGTGGGATCGCTCACCGTAGACTAAGAAAAGTGACTGATATGCGCAAGTAAGAGTCAGCCCACAAAGTTAACAGCAAGAAAGCTGGAAAAGCCTCGCACCGAGAGCGTAGTGATAGGTAAGATGATGACGGCTTCAACAGTAGTAAAAGGTTGAACGAGTTCTTCGAGATCGTCGGACGCCATCGCAATTGGAGTATAGAGGGGGGTGTTGAAATGAAAAGTGCACCATTTTAGGCTTTATATATCTAAATGGTGGAGAAGAACAGTGTTTTGAGTATAGTCTCATGATGGACTTTGGTAGGACTTTTTTCCAAGATCATCCTACGGCAGATGAGTGCCAGGCAGTAGGAACCTTATTATTCATTACATATTTCTACAAATCAGGTTCTGAGATCTGAGGGCGTGATTGTGAATCGATCCGGAGATACACTTGTAAACCATGAGATGATACCTATCGAGCTCATCAGACAATACCTGAATAGTGGCGGGAGCCTCAACGTCTCGTGATATATTCTATCTAGTCTTCTTCCAAAAAAGCAGACAATGTGCACCGGTCGGGCCAAACTTGAGTTGATCGTTGCTTAAGTACTGTACTATAGTAGGAAGATCAGTCCAAAAAGCGGTATCCAAAGCTCTATACTTGCTCCAACCGCCAAGGGACCAAGGTGATTCTCACGATGCAGAAAATCGATCCGGTCTCTTTGCTGGATCTGATCTAACCTATTCCTCATGGCATAACCCCCCCGGCTCGCACTGAAAGTTGGGCTCGTGATAATAAGCTGTGATAGGTCAAGCTTCTAAGACTTACCATGTTAAGGCTTAATTACAGTGTGGGGTTGTCGCGGGAGCCGAGACTTCTCTGTCCGGAAGTACCACTGGTCACGGAAAAAATGCTTTTCCGACACGGTATCAATGCCTCGACCGGTGACTTCTAATTCTACCTTGTTGGCGTTCAACGCCGGATTCAACCCCACCACCAATCTCAAGTGTACTCTCCTCCCCTCTGGCCTTATTTAACACTATTCGTACCGCAGAATGGACACTACAGTAAACGATCAGCAGAACCCGAACCCAACTTCCATGCATCAATAGTTCGGGATCTGTCCTCCGAAAACCGAACAATGAACCTCCAGTTCCTCTACCACCATCAGTTGAACCACCACTCCACATGTACCACTCCAGTAGAAGTATCAGCAAACTGCTTAAAGAGCGCCTCGGAAGCGTCCAGATCTCCAGAGTTACAAGTTGGGCATTCGTCCACAACTGTCGCCTCGGCAGTTTTTCCGTCATGAGAGATCGTAATGGTCTTTCCGCAATGGGATTTACCCTCGTATTGCTGCGTGAGTATCGCAATTTGGTAAGTACTGAACAAACTCGCATCTAGAGAACCCAAGTACGCACTGGTGTGGCTAACGCGACAATCTACAATTCTCGAAGCGTCAGTGAAGAAGAGTGGAGTTAACTCGGGGTCTGATATACTTACAAAGTCTTCCGGTTTACTCTGCCAGCCACAGGCCCCTCTGCGATCAAGAAGGAACCGAATAGGAATGTAATCAGTCGACTATCAAGATATCGTCGTTGCGTATATTGGTGACTCACAATCCGGTGTCATAATAGGTGAGTTGACCACTAGACGATTCCCCTCTCTTGGGAACATTGGACCTGCCTCCGAAAACTTCGCTATGATGATGACCATGGCGACGGTGTGCGGTGAAGGAGGGCAAGGCCAGTAAGACCGGAATAATCAGGTAAGCGAGGAACATGTGCTAAAACACAAGCGAAGGGGTGAGGAGAGGGGACGATATGATACAATTTCGGGGGCAAGCTGGTTCGGAAATGGTCCTCTTATAAGGGAAGGCTCGGAGCTTTGCCTATCCGACGTCGTACATTCTAATACGTTACTGTTACGCCCTTAGCGAGCCTCAGTGCTCCAGAAGAATTCAGTTTGAGCTCAAGGCTACACGACGGCGAGGACCGCCCGCCGCCAAAATATTGTCGCGGGATGTGGCCGGAAGGTGACGGCTGAAGATGTATCATGCAATAGACATGGTCAAAGCCAAGGGAAGGAATACATGTTTCCTATAAACGAAAATCGAGATTTGCATCGGTCATGGAGGTTTAGGAGGCGATGGTTGGCCGATTGAAGATGCATCTCAGTTTGACCTTGAAAGAGGATTAGCCGGGTCTTGACCGCACTAGCCGTAAGACTTTGGTTCTCCTACCCGACTCTATAGGCCTGGCAAATAGCGATTCACCATAGTACCGGTGGAACGGTACGGACATTTCTGGTGGCTCTACTTGCCATGCCACCTCCCGTCTTTTCTCGCGTTTCTGGCCCCGAGAAAACATTAGTATCCCCCGCCAACGGAATAGTCTTATCACCGTTCTTGTGAGCAAGGCAATCGGAGTACAAATCCCAGAGTCAGTTCGGAGTTTATGTTGGGCATTGCGTTTTTCTTGATGGTATTCTTTCAACACGATCTCAAAATTGAACGATTAACGCGTTCCAAGTTTTACCAATAAATACACAAAAGCATTAACGGGCAGCCCAGGCCGAGGCTTGCACGCAAATAAAAGGTTGTACTATAACGTAGGAGTGAGTGTAACTGATATTGAGGGGACCCTGAGTTCATGGTTCATGGTTCCTCTTGGGCCTAAACCATATGGCTCTCAAGGCTCAGTTTCCTCTCCGAGCTTTCTGCCTTTAGATTGGCCTCGACCCGAGGGATGGAGCGGATGTGTACAGGCGTTCTTGAGCCACTCGTATCCGAAATTGGTCGAGTATCCCGTTCTGCAAAGTGTATAGAGACCATCTGTTGAACACTGTCAACAGACTTCCCATACGCGATACGTACAATCATTAGTGTTGGTGCCAGGCCCTGTAAGGAATAAGTCAATGCCTCAAACTCAAGCAAAAGGTCGGGGGTCCATACCGAAGTTAGAGTTGACACGACAGTGAGATCAACGGGGACTTTGCCTTCAGAGTGTGGATCCCATATG